TGCAATTTTGTAAATATGCCATCTTGTACTGATTTGACATTTGTTCTATTATCCCAGAATATGCCAAAGGGAGAGAGACCTTCAGATTTAAGCCAAACCTTAACTTGTTTGTTGAGTGCTGATAAAATGTTGACTGCTGTGTGATCTTTAAAGAAGCCAGTGATGCTTGGTGAGGCTGAAGCAGAGCCCCCTGTCCGGGGTTGATGGGAGCTCTTCCCTTGGCACCTCACGGACACAGTTGTTTGATAGATGTAAACAAGTAAAATATCTGATATCGTGGGTTGATGTCATTTCCTTCTTAAACATTTTCTGTGCCTTGTGTTGTAGCATTAATGGTATTTCCCAAAATGGCGTCATATACTATTATTTATGAGGCTTTGGTCGCAAGTGGAAGATGCAAAGAGCGAGCAGGTAACCCCTCATCGGGGTAATCTCTCAGCGAAGTGCAGTAGCTGTTTGCTCTTTCTACAAGAGCCTGGAAGTGACAATGAGTTGTTTGGCTGTATTACATGATCAAGGGACACTATAATAAAATGATAAGGGGCACGGTCTTTGAAGTAAGATGGACCTCTGTTCACATTTCATTTCCACCACCTACTGGCAATATGATCTTGGGGAAGTTATTTCTGAGCCTCAGTTTCTTCATTGGGGTAATGGGACCTACTTCACGGAGTTATTGGAAGGATTAAATGTGTCACACACATGTGCCTGCCATGAAGTTAGATTTCAAAATATGGCAGGTGCCGTCTTTATTACCCTCAAAAAATAAATGGCCCTTATGATACCTAGATGGCACAAGGGGTTAGCTTAAGAATTGTTATACTGCTTCTCACAGTACTTTCCTACTCTTATCAGCTCCCCTTCTATTTCAAAAATACAAAGATTTATTTGTTGGAAGGTAACTGAGGAACCAGCATGATCCAACAAGCAGTTACAGATGGTTCTTCTTGGGGCTTGAAGGAAAAGTTTCTCACAGAGATGCTGTGGAATCGGCACTGCCACTGGACCAATCCTTCCCACTTCCCTTTGCCAGACTGTTGCTGGCAGCAGGGCTCTCCGGAAGTTTCTAGCCTCAAGAGAGTGCCAACTGCACCACCATTCGCATCCTTGCCCATTTATCACTCCGAGCTTCCTTTTTAGTAATTGGTGATAGACTATCAGCTTCTAACATAGTCATCCATTTCCTTTTTTATTTCAGTTTCCATCGGTAGACAAAAGGAGATTATCTTACGGTGGTGGGTGAAAAGAGCACAATTAAAGATTTTCTGATCATCTCTTGTACCTGAAGTCAATTCATGGAGGCTTTTCACTGGCAGTGGATGTTGCATTTTACAGGTTAAAGTGCACTGTTCAAAGTAGGGCAAAAAAATCTTGATTGACAAAATAGGATACACAGGCTCAAATAGAATGATCAGTGGTTTGAGAGGCAAGGTCACACAGATACATTGTTCCGGGGGAAAAAACTAAAAAGAAAAATGTCCCCCCTGCAGCCTGAGAGCCTGAAAGTGCATTTATGCCTCCAGGCTGTCTGGTTCCCTTTCCCAGAGAGGTCTCTCCTGAGGCTTCTCCCAGGGAGCAGGGGAAGTGTGCATTTGAAATGGCACACATAGCTTGCCTTTACAGGGAAAGCTTTTGTTTTATTTTTCTCTTGCTGCATTAAAGTATTTGTCTTTCTTTCTTTGTAGTGTAATATTGTTAATGTAAAACAATTTGCATCATGACACTTTTATCACAGTTTTCGTCTTTTTCTCAGTATGTTGCATTTCTCACCATGTCTAGTTCATCACAGCTACAGTGTGTACATCACAACATTTATCTTAGGCTCAGGGTTTTACTTGTTTATAAAAATTGTCTTCTTTCAGCCTGTATTCACTCCATTTAAGAAAAAAAAAAAAAAAGGCAGCCAGAAACTGTTTTGGTCCAAACTCCAGTAGTTATCACATTCCTTGCTAACTGTCCTGTGTATTTATATGTCTCCTAACTATTACTCTGTGTTTCAATGACATTTCTCAGTTTCATGGCTTGGGGAGGTTATAGGAGCAGCTCTTGCTGGCCATACTGCTAAGCAAAGGACCAGGAGGTGAGGTGATTGAGGTTATAGATTTGGGTCAGGACTGGGTGTTAAGTTGACTATTCCCGTGAGCACAGAGCTAGATTTAATTAGGAGAGAAACGAGGTGGGAGGCAACAGCAGGCAAGCAGTCAGAACAGGTTTCCAGCATGATTAGCAGACAAGATCACTGAGGAGGATTCTAGCAAGGTGCTCCAGGGTCTGGGATGCAGAATATCAATGTTCACTATCAGATTCAAGCCCCAGATCTCCTGCTTCAGCTTTGAATGCTGCACAACACTGTCGTAGGGAGTTTTTTTTCCCACCCGCTTCTCTCGGAAGGGCAAAAAATCCCTCAGGGTTCTGCTGCTGCTGCATTAGGCTATGTATGACCTGCACAGTCAGAAGCAAATGCCTCTCAAAGCTCACAGGGCTGTGCAGACCAAGCACTCTTCCGATTAACACAGTCTAAGAAAGCTTGGGGGTCTCAGGAGCTAAAGGGTACCTAGTCTATTTGTGACTTCTAATTCTACAACAGTTCATTAACATTTTATGGCAGACTGTTCCTTTGCTAAAAGAGCCCCTTATGAGCAGCTTGGAATTTTAGTAGAGACACCGTGCAGCATTGGAGTTAAAAGAGGTTTTACCGTCAGAGTTTGTGTCCAGCTCTCACACTCCTACAGATGTAATCTGGTGCTAGTTACTCACCTTCTGAATCTCAGTGTCTCCATCTATAAAACAGGAGTGGCACATACCTATCTCATACGGATGTTGTGAGGATTAAATGGAACAATGTTTTAGAAATCCTTTATGATGCTTAGCACAGTGACTCACTCACTGCTGTCAAGTCGGATCCGACTCATAGTGAGTCCTCCTTGGGTTTCCAAGGCAATATCACTACAGAAGTAGATTGCCCAATCTTCCTTCCAAGGATTGGCTGGTGGGTTTGAACTACCAGCCTTCTGGTTAGCAGTCAAATGCCTTAGGCAGTATGCTACCAGAGCTCCCAGCACAGTGACTTGTACAGTATAAACACTCAGTGTTAGCTATCATTGTTATTAGCACCATGGATGGGTTGAAAGTGGGAAAGACATATCTCAGTCAATTTCAGAAGGAGAATATTTTGTTTCCCCTATCCCAGCTGTTTCCACTTGCCTCTGTAACACTAGGACTGGACATTAAGGGCAGTACAAAATAAGTGTTTACTGATTTCTTTCATTTATTCATTTAATTGATTCGTATTTAGCACTACTGTAGATGCTAAGAATAATGAACAATATAGGTAAACTCTTTTTTCAGGAAGGTTATGGTTTAGTGGGATATAAGTAATAAATATCAGTTGAGTAAATTTAAAAAAAAATGAATGAATGAATAAAGGAAGTTGGGATAGACAGATTCATATATGTGTAGATTTAACTGGGTCTTAAAAATAAATAAAGAGTGTGGCTTTCAATGAATCTGAGGTGTTTATTCTGAAAGTCATGAGTAACTCTCAGTTTGGGTCAGAAATGCAATATAGTCAGGACAAGTGAGAACCTAAGCTTTTCAGGACAATGTAACCTTGGAAGCCTCAGTCATCTGAGACATTTTGGGTGATTATATCCTGAAAGCTGTAGACAGAATGTCTTTTCATCCAGAAATACTGTGTCATAGCATTCGCACATCAACATCAGCAATTTTAACCTTAAAAAAAATGGGCTATGCAATGTTTCTTGATTCCTCTTTCATGAGGGAACCAAAGGAGTTGTTCTCAGTCCTCTTTTACAGAAACAAAGAACAGCTCACTGATCTTGAAACTGGGACTAAAATAGAAAACCCCCCGACCTCAGCCCAGTCACATTCCTGCTAGACCACCAGTCTCCCATCATGTATCGTAAAATAAAATTAGCTACAAAGATATCTGTAAACTACAAACCCCGGCTCTCATAAAGTTGACTTTGAGTCACCAAAATGCTTCCAGGCTAGCTGGCTGACTTTAAACCATAGAGAGGCTACTGCTCCTTTTCCTGCCAATTCATAACAAGGAAATAAAAACAGACTCTAGCTCATCTCCTCCCAAAGGCCTCTATGAGGCACTAGCTACCTTCATCATAACTTTGTAAAAATCCCCAAATTAAGATCAAATGACTGGTGCTTTTCTTTCAAGAGCTTTTTCATCTAAGGCCTCTGATTCTCATTCTAGAAGCTCTACCAGAATCAGGGCACAAAGCAGTCTTCAAAAAGCTGACCTCACAACTTTTTTTTTTTTTTAATCCTATTTTCCTGGCTTCTTTGAGAATGACTTTGTCCAATAGCAGCATTTTTCTCACTACAGAATGAAGCAGACAACAGCAACTCCCTGCTAAGGCCATCCTTGATCTTTTTCACCCTTCTCCCCTTCCATATGTCACATTTGCCTAGGTTTTAAACATCTGTTCTGAAAGAGGTAATATTTGCTTTTCATTCAGAGCCTAGCATGTAGACCAAAGTTCACATGACATATTGCAGAGTATGTTTAGTTGCAAATGCTATGTACAGGCTCTTTGAAATGTAGCATGTATGGCACCATGTGACACATGGTTGCCATGGCAATACACTTTTTGGCTGAACTACAACATAAGCCCATGGAACATACATTGCTAATATGAGACTATGCCCCGCGCTAATGCATAGGACATAGCCAATCTGGGATTTGGGACTCAGGGGCTTTGCGTGCAGCCTCAGTGGCAGGTGCCCGCTTCCTGCATGCACAGGGAAGGTGTGGCACCCTCCCTTCCAGTCCTGTCTCCCCGGCACTGGGCATGCTGTGCATTCTGCCATGCATAGAGACAGCATTTGCTTGAATATCGGTTTGCTATATTTTGTATCAAAGGGGGCCCCAGCTGAAAACATTTTATTTTGTAAACTGAAGTGAAAAATCAGTTTATGGCAGATCCTTTTTTGAATAATGACATTCTTTTTCCCAATTCCAGAATTCAACAGTCATGAGCAGAGCTGAAAATTTTAAGCAAGTTGAGTACCTCCTTATTCATGGAACAGCAGATGGTGAGTTTCAGTTAATTAGACTTTTTAGTATCACAGACAGGTTTGCAATTTCACTACTGACAAAACAAAAGCATGAGGGGCAAGACTGTTACATTTACTTCAATAAAACAGTGTTGCTTTCCACAACTCACTTGTCTTGGGCTAAATGGGATGCCGAGTCCTAGAACTTCATGCAGTCCCTTTCTTCTTGTGCTTTCCCTACCCTTTGATATCAGAACATTGAAGCAGCTATTAGCTACTTTATGTTTCCCTTCTCTCCTTGCAGATAACGTTCACTTTCAGCAGTCAGCTCAGATCTCCAAAGCGCTGGTGGACGCTGGAGTGGATTTCCAGGCAATGGTACAGCAAAACTTTGTGCAAGGGGAGGGGAGTTGCTGGTGGGGCTCTGCTTTCCTCTCTGTGGGCTACTTCTCTTCACAGAGGTCAAGGAGACAGGGAAGGAATTCAAATCATTTTTATTTTTCCAAAGAGAAGCTGGAGAAGTGATGTCTTTTTACCACACACAGAGTAACGTTCAATAATGCTGAAAATTTCGGGTTGAGAAGCATTATCCTGGGAGTATCAAAACACTGCTCTCCTGTCCATGTGATTGTTCAGCCTCTCTTTTCCCTATTTTGATTCAAAAGTAATCACTTACTCAGTAAATGTGTGGCAGAGTAATTCTAAAGTGAAATCAGCATGATAATAGCTCAGTCAAATATGAAAATCCATTTTTGTCCAGGATATACTACTAGCCACTCTACCAGTGGTGGGCTATTAATAATCAGTACGCTTCAGCTTTTACAACTTTATTATCTTTTGTTGAATAACCACAGATGATAAACAATTAGATTTGTTTCATAAAGTCAGAAATGGCCAGCACTGTTACTGCCTATAGAAAGGATATTTCTGGGTATTAAGGCAAATCCATTTTCTGCACTAGAGTTTTTCAGATTAAGAAGAAAATGTGTGTATGTTGCACTAAATATGTTTGCGTAAAATGCAGCTTTCTTGTTTGTTTTAGCCAGAAAAGCCTGCTTTTTCCCCACTTTCTTCTAACATACATGCTCTGCTCTGTGCTCAGTTCAAATGCTGCCACTGTATAGGAGTAAAACAATCATTTTGATACTGAGAAAGCAGACACATATCCTTTGGATCAGTTTCTTAAAAGAGATTAAAGTTTATTTTTCTTGCAAGCTTTATTTTTTTCATTATTCAAAGAAAAAAATATGATACTCTAATTAAGCAGTTTTAAAAGTTAATTTATGTCTTCATAATATATGTTTGTCTGGCAATGACTTTCTACTTGTTTAATATGGTATGAGTTGATACATTTTTGCCTCAAGTCCTAAGCTCTTTCTGTATAAATGTCACACATACAGATCTTTTGTTTTTAAATGCCACTGAAAATCTTTTAAGTGTTTACAAATAATGCATTTGACTTTTGACTTCACTTAGGTTCCACATATATGTTTAGTACAGAGATAGATTTTTTTCCAGCTCTTTAGTGATAGGAACAATTGCTTTAAAAAAACAAAACAACCACCTCATTTTAATACAGTTTATCCTACTATAGGAGAAGTTTGAGACTTGCTAGCAATTAAAACAAGTGGGTTCAGTGGTATAAACTATCCCTCTGTGCATGTGGTGGTTTTAAGTGTCTTTTGAGTCACATTTGAAAATGAATTTGGGTGTGTGCATTAAAACTTACATCACCTTACCACACCTTGCAGTGAAGCCAAATTCACAGTGAGTTCTGCAGTACCTTTAGGGGTGAGATCAGAGATCTTTGTGGGACAGAACATGCCTTGGAAAAGCTCTGGGGAAAATTAGGCACTTTCTTTGATCAAATGTCAGTTTATAAACTATTTCAGGAATCAAAACTCCCTGCCTTATACCACTATGCTCATGTGGGCTCATTTGAATTGATGGTGGGGGTGGGGGTGGAGGAAGACTGACTTCCTAATTCTGACCATTTTTCTTTCTCTCTCTAGTGGTACACTGACGAAGACCATGGAATTGGTAGCAACACAGCACACCAACATATATATACCCACATGAGCCACTTCATGAAACAATGCTTCTCTCTTCCTTAGTACCTCAAAATAGCATGCCATCTAAAGCGTATTAAAAACCATTTTTGTTCTCATTATCTCAAAACTGTACTGTCAACATGATGATCTTAAAGAAGACACTCAGATCAAGAAATTTAAGGTTACCTTTGCCCCCAAATTTTATACATACAATCTTAAGTAAGGACTTCTATCTTTGCAACAGATTATTGTCTTACAGAAAAGTTTGAATTATTCAGTCCGGTTTTGTTTTGTCAGTTAAAATCATCTCCATGTCAGCTGCTGAAACAACAGAAAATATGAATTGCTTTTATGGTGCTTTGCATAGGTTCCTGGGCAGCATTTTCTCTTTTACTAACTGGAGTAGGTCCAGATCTTTTCTCTTCTTTAAAGGGATGGCACAATGTGGGCAGTGATGTCACTGAGACAGAGGAAGAAAAAAGAAGGGTCGGGAGAGAAGATAGCAGGGCATGACTGGGATCCCAAGACTGAGCATATCAACCGACCAGGCTACTGTCAGCTGCTCACAGCCAGACGGGCACAGTTTTCTGAGAAAGACTATCCAAACAGTCTCAGGAAATCATATATGCAAAGCACCGACTTCTGAGTAAAACCACAGCCATTGAATAAGCTCCAAAGAAATGCAAGGGAAACTGCCAACGATGCAAGGCCCCCAGGTGCCAGTTATGGCTATAGGTGCTACAAAAACACAGCAATGGTGAGGGGAAAGCATTTCAAATGTGTTTAAAAAGACAATACTGATGTTTCCTGGTGGAAGAGGCAGCTTGGAACTGGATGTGAACACATCAGCTTGCCCTGTTAAAAGATGAAAATATTTATATCACAAATCCTAACTTGAAGGAGTCCTTGCATCAAGTTTTCTTATTTCATTTCTTTGAGCATCTTAATTAAAAGAATATTTTAAGTTCCTTGGTCTCATTTTAAAAAACTGAAAATAAACTAGAATGCTGTGTATTACTATCTCCATTCTACATGCTGTCAAATTCCCATTGTCAGTTAATAAATGGGCCTTCATTTTTTTTTTTTTTTTTCCCAGAAGTAATGAGTTGTACCTTGAATCAGACCTAAACCACACTGACATATGGACACATTTATCCAGAAAGGCTCTTGTTTATTTTGTTAGTTATCCTAGACTACGTTGTAAACATGCAAAGATTTCAGCATTTGTAAAAAATTAGATACATAAAAATGTGTTAAATTAAGCAGTCCATAGTGTTCTTGTCTAACACGCACACAATTTCCATTATCATGTATACACATATCTTTTGAGAAATTGACTTAAAATAATATGTTACTGATACTATGTTCCGTTGTTAGGTGCCATGGAGCCAACTCATAGCAACCCCCTGAACAACAGAATGAAGCACGGCCCGCTCCTGCGCCGTCCTCTGGACCGTTGCTATGTTTGCGCCCTTGTTGCAGCCACGGTGTCAATCCATCTTGTCCAGGGTCTTCTTTTTCACTGACCCTCCACTTTACCAAACACGATGTTCTTCTCCAGGGACTGGTCCATCCCGGTAACATGTCCAAACTGATAGAATACATGATATAATATATACTGCTACAATTGGGCAATCTACTTCCGTAGTGATACTGCCTCGGAAACCCACGGAGGGGTCGCTATGAGTCGGTCTGACTCGACGGCACATAACAACAGCAGCTTTGCTCTACATAGATGTGAGAATTCTAATTTATAAGACTACGGGATTTGTACAATACTGAGGGTTCAATAAGCTCTAAATGGAAATATACCAAAACACAATAATGGCTTTTTATGTCATGTTGTTGTTGTTGTTATGTGCCGTGGACTTCTCTTATTCTTCTTTTATGTCGTAGAATACGAGAATTGTGTTGCATCAATTTTGTGATAACTGTTTCAGTAGTATGCCTCTGAGAACTTTTTCGCATACATCTTAAGTGGTCTGGCATGCGTTTGCAGGATGTCCAAGGGTTACAGATGGTTGAGAATGATAGATAAATGGTGGTAATAAGGAATGCTATCACCACCCAATAAGAAAAACTCAGAGTGTCGTATTATAAAACCTATGTTATGCTCAGTAGGAATTTATTATCATTCTTCATTTCACCTTTCTGTGACAATAATAACATTTAAACTCAAGAAATTGAATTAATAAGTGAATTGCTTACCGCTGGTTGAGGAAGGAATCTTTTTTGGTGCATATAGGATTTAAACTTCAACAAATTCTGTCAAAATTATTATTCTGTATAGTATTTCATCTGAATCATCACCTCAACTTTGTCAAATTACTCAAAAAGTATGTGTGAGTATGGTGAGAAGTGAGATCCATCAAACAACATGGTTTCTTTTACTAAATGCCATGGTCTGTGATTCTTGAGCAAGAATATTTCATCATGTAGATTTGGTTTCAAATATTAACCACAGAAACACGGATGTCTAAGATAAATTAACACTGAGAAGAAACATTGCTCTCATTTTAACCCAATTCAGGTTACCAGGTCTAGAATGATCCTGGAGGGAGTAAGGTGGTCACATATCGCCTCCTGCTGGAGACCCAGTACACTGCAGCCGAGTCAGACCTGGGTGAGAAGCTCAGCACCACCACTCACTACTGAGAACCACTTTAAAGAATGTTACATGACTCTTAGAACTCCAGATTCCCAATATTAAAAAGTACAAAAATATCTGCCTCACAGAATTATTGCATGTCTATGAATATTTATGTATATACAATGCCTGGTGCCTTCTTTTTACTTTTCTCCTCTTTCTACTCCATGGAAGGAAGTCTGGGCAATCTACTTCTGGAAAAATTTACAGCCTCAGAAACCCAAAGGGGGTCATTATGAGTTGGAATTAACTCAATGGCAGTGAGTTTGGTTTTTTGGTTTGATATTCACAACTAACAGGAGCTCTGGTGGTGCTGAGGTTAAATCATTGGGCTGCTAACCAAGAGGTCAGCAGTTCGAATCCACCAGTTCTTCTATGGGAGAAAGATGAGGCAATCTGCTTCTATAAAGAGGTACACCCTTGGGAACCCTATGAGGCAGTTGTATTCTGTCCTATGGGGTTGCTATGAGTCAGAGTCAACTTGATGGCAGTGGCTTATTCACAACTAGTTAGTCTCTTTTGCCTTGATGATTAGATTAATAATTAGGTTTTACACATACTTGCCCTAGCCCTATGTGTCCTTGGAGGTTAGACACAGGAAGGTGCTCAATAAACATTTGCTTTTGCTCCAATACTAACATGTCTATGAGAATTTTTTTGGACCTTTACTCATCCCTTATCAACTGAGCAGCAGCATCTTCTGATATGTTTTACCTATGATTGTGTCAGCAGTCTTTATTGGGTTTGTAAAGAACAGAGCACAGAAATTGGGTCTGGAGAATTACAAAAAGAAGTAAGGTACCATTCCTACTATCAAGGAACTTATAAACAAATGAAAAAAAAAAAAAAAAAAAGTGATATGCCAGAAACCTAGAAGGCAAGAATACCTAGATATAAAGCTATTTTTTATATAGATAAGACTGGATAAGATGGGTAGGATGCATGAGCAGGGGAGATGGTGATTTCCAGACTCAGAGGAGCTAGCCATTGGCTGAATTTGGATTACACTAATCTACACTGAGGGAGCTCTGGTAGCATAGTGCCTAAGGCACTTGAATGCTAACCAGAAAGCTGGCGGTTCAAACCCACCAGCCATTCCTCAGAAGGAAGATGGGGCAATCTACTTCCATAGTGATACTGCCTTGGAAACCCAAGGAGGGGTCGCTATGAGTCGGGTCCGACTCGACAGCAAATAACAACAGCAACAACAATCTACACTGAAGGAGCCCTCGTGATGCAATGATTAAGCACTAGGCTGCGAACTGAAAGGTTGGAGATTCAAATCCACCAGCTCCTCCATGGGAGAAAAGACCTAGCAATCTGCTCCCGTAAAGATTACAGACTAAGAAACCCTAAGGGTTAGTTCTACTCTGTCATATAGGGTCACTATTTGATGGCACACAACAAACAGCACAACAACATGAGTCAGAATGCACTCATGGTAGACAACTACTGTCTACACATAGATTTGTTTAGTATCCTCTGTCTTAATGTTGATCGTCTGCCTTTCAGAACATTTATTCAAATACAACTCAAGACATATATATCCATATATACAGCAATGCTCTACATAAAAGGTTTTAGATTAAAGCTATCCATGTCTGGAGTCACTTATCAAGTACACAAGGAGTATACTTGAGCCAATTTGAATTCAATTGTAATAGAAGTTTATAGACCACTCACAAAGATTTTGGTCTGATCATCTGAGAGTGATTCTGGGAGCAGGATCTCTAAGAAAATTATTCCACTTTTTCTCCATTATATTCTCTCCTGTGCTGTGAGGCTTATCTTTCCAAAAATTCACGTCTCTCCATTACTCAAAGCTCTTAATAGATAAAATTCAAATGCCTTAGTATATAATTTAACATCATTTAAAATCTATCATGAACTTGTGCTTCTTCACCCTTTTCTTACAGGTCTCTGCTACCCTCCCATGACTGCCATATTGGGCTGTTTACTGGGTTCCAATTATGCCACGCACCAAATGTGTCAGGCTCCAGTTATGCCATGCATATTTACTTCCAATTTCATCTTTATTTCAAAACTGACATGTTTTTGAGACTCTTTGGAGTTCCTGTAGTCAGTTTTGTTTTCCCCCACTCCATCCTAATTTATATATCACCTCTTCTATAAAGTTTTCTCCAAATGCTTCTCTGCTCAAATCACTATTATTGAATTACTTGCTGCTTTAACCATAACACCAACTCATACCTATCATATGTATATTACAGTTATATATCATGGTCCTGCTATCAATTCTCTAGCACAAAGACTGGTGCCCAATACACTGATAAGACTTAATTTGAGAGATGGTTGTATCCATGAACTGCAGGTTTCTGTACAGAATACCTAATTAGGGATATCAAATCAAGTATTATCGGTCCCTGAATATTGGGCTTCTTCAAAGGGACTGACTAAAACTGTCCCTCAAAGTAGATATTTAGAGAATTTTCACAATATCCAAATTAGTTCCATAAAACTTCCAAATGATTCTAATTTAATTTCACTCCATTATGTGAATACGTGAGATAGACATATTGGACAACTTGGAGGGCAATCTTGCAATGGTAGTAGAATAGTAAAGTAAGCAAGAGTAAACAGAATAAAGTTAAACTAAACAAAGGTAGGTCAGCAAAGATAGGAAACAGAATAAGCCACACTTTTGAGATCCAAGAAAAAGCCTAAAAAAAATCGAGGGATTATGTTGAAATAGAGGTTGCTAGTGAATCATCAGTGGAGAGTTTCTATCAGTCTATGCATTTAAACTACACCAAGGAGACATTCAGATCAGATTCAGGGAAAATTGAATGACATTAAATGGTAGCAATTGCCATTTAATGTCATTAATTACCATTTAATGTCATCCCAATACTGAATGACATTAAATGGTAGCAATTGCTGAAGCAACTAGCAACTAGCTTCAGCTACTTCTTCAGCTAGTTCAGTAATGAAATCCAAAACCCACTGCCATTGAGCCAATTCTGACTCCTAGTGACTCTGGTGGTGCTGTGCTTGAAACATTGGGCTATAACCAAAAGGTCAGTGGTTCAAATCCACCAGTGGCTCTGCGGGAGAAAGATGAAGCAGTCTGCTTCCATGAAGATCTGCACCCTTGGAAACCCTAGGGGTAGTTCTACCTGTCCTGTAGGGTCACTATGAGTTGGTTCAGTAGACAGGATAAAAGCAGTACTCCATACATCACAGTTCTGAGTACAAGCACCTCCACAGCATACTGGCGGTGTCAAGAAAAGAACAATGGTCCCATGCAAACTACTGTAACACAAAGGAGCCAAATTTTAGGAAATGTTTTTCCCATTAGGAGAAAAACAAAAGTCTAAAGAGTACCAATAATGGGGAATGACCTTGGAGGCTTTTACTAGTCATGTGAAATGCCATTTGCACCCAAGTCACTGCTCTTCATGAAAACGAGGAAATACATCCTACATAAAACAAAATATAAAAACAGGAGTCGCCATTGAGTCACCTTGGACTCATGGAGACTTTTCATAATTTCTGTTCATAAGTTCAAATTGTTAGAATAATCTTTAAATGTCTACATTACCAAGTTTGTAGTACGTTTATCTAAACTTAAATATTATGTCCAATCAAAACGTTCTACATTGACTTACTGATTAATACTATTTAAAAACAAACAACAAGAAAAGACAAGACACTTTATATCACAATTTAAAATGTGCAAGGACATTAGGATATTAATAATATTTATTTTCACGTAACATTTTTTAGTTGTGAAAAACACAATATCCTAGTCACATTTACACATTACTTAAACTTTGCAATAAATTACATTCAAAGGATTCAGCAATTTTAACCAGGACCTGAAATTAGGAGTAAATATATAACACTACGTTTTCTTATATTTTATATGATTTCAAAATATTAGGATTAACATGAGAATAGCATTAAAATTCACACAAAAACAAAATAACTATAAAAATACTCAGAAATACATAATTTCATTGGGTATGGTTGCTATATTCAAACAGATGATCACGTGAGGCTTTTAATTCACGATGATCATTCTTAACAGTTTTTAATATATTAAAACACTAGGAGGCTGCTTTGGGGACTGACTGGCATGTACAGCAAGTCTAAACCATGTAACAATGAAAACACTTACGTTGTACTATCTGTATTATAAAACACACAAAGTCTATACATTTGGAATGGAAAGTTTCTGTATTTTACGTTGGCATTTATAAATACAAACTTTATTAGTGCAAATTGTTCTTCCCATATTTTTTAGGCTTATGCTCTGTTAAAAAAATGACTCCTGAAAGGACTGTGAGGGGAATTTTTTAGAAAGTATCAAAATTTTAAACCTAATGGAGGTTTTCTTTCTCCCTGCCCTCCCCTCTTAATAGGTTAATCAAAAGAGGATTTTTTTTTTTTTTTACTTTTTGCGTACACTCAGAGTAAGTAATCAATTGCTTGACTGTTTGGAAAAACCAGGTAGTCCTGAATTATTGTAAAATTGGACGTTGACGTATTACAAGCTGATGATCACTGGTCATTCTCAGGGACCAAGAGCACTGTGAGATTTAATCTTTATAAAGTTCACATTCATTTAAAATGAAATGAAATAATACTTTTTTTAGTAATGCTCAAAAACTCTTAACTTTCCTTCTCCATATATAAGCTTATAAAGATGGATTACTTCATATGGACGGAAATAGCTACAGAACCTTCTCAAACAGAAAGCTGAAATTCTCATTTAAAAGATTATTTTTCCACAACATGCATGTAATTAAAAAGTGGAAAAAGCTTTGCAGAAAAAATTACAATTGGAGACCTGTCAGTTTAACATTAGAACGTGACTCAGAACCAGCATTAAGCAGTGTATGATCTTTAGCAGCGGAATAACTGTACAGAAATGGAATTTCATGTACAATGATCACCGTGTGGTATTCCACAAGTATGTATACAATAGGTTTATTAGTTGCCAATGGGAGATAAATTTAACAGCAAATTTCTGATAAAGGTTGGTATTGAAAATCCCACAAAACTGTTACAAAGTTTTCTAAAGCATTTCGTACAAGCCTAGTATTTGACCATATGATCAAACTTGAATTTTAAGCAAATCTACTCAACTTTTTGCATTAGTGTTTGTGATTCTTTTTAACAAGTGTGCCTAGGTTCTATATATTTTTTCAAATGACTTTAAGTTTTAGTTATATATAAATTCTTAAGTATTAAATATATCATATTAAATCAAGGAAATGCATTAAATACAATTATTAAAAAAAGTTTTCTAACTAACTTTTTGATTTGGGTCTTTTGAAATGTCACTAATGTTAAGCTATAAAAGGAAGTAAGACTACCTTTCAAAATTCTTCTGAATTGAAATAATCAGGCATTTTCAGGTCACTAAAGTAGGAAAATACAAACTAGGTAAATATGACTTATCTTTTTAAGAAAGCTATTGTTCTCGTGAAACTGACAATGAGAATCCAGTGCTTGCAAATGTCTAACATAGAGCAAGGAACACAGAGGTACTTACATTAGCTATTGTATATGCTCACAAGGGTGTCTCACTGCTCAGAAGTTTAAACACAGAAATGAAACCAATATTGCACTACTTACAGTATGAAGGTGGATTTGAGATGAGAGACAGAATTTATAATAGGATCAAAGCAGTTTTATTAATAATTAATTGTGGCACTCTTCTCATATATTTTAAAAAATAAATTGAAGATCAAGTCATAGACAAGTCTCCCTGTCAACACCTTTCCCTGAGTCAGCTTTCTTCTCTTTTCGGCTTTCATTGCTATGGAGGAAAAAGGAGAAATTTATTACTGTAACCCTGCATGGCAGCTATGAAACCTGCTTGCTCAGACACCAAACCCATCAACCCCAGAACACCCCCAGAGCCCTTAGGCTTTGTCCTCTCATGCTGTGAAGCAGAGTTCCATAACAACAATTAAAATCCTCTGCACTCAGTGGGATAGAAACCAAGAATTGCAGAGAGGGGGACATTCAAAAAACAGAAACAAAAGAAACAAAAACCAGACACTTTTCAAACAGTTCTGAAAGCATGCAAGATTAATACCATGGTCCTCATTCGGGCAAATGAGTCACCGATGAGTGTAGAAAATGCTAGTCATGCCCTCATCTTAAGACAGCACCAACACCAATAAATGACACAAAGACGTCACAGTAGGTATTTCTGGGCTCTGCTTGCTGCAGGTGGCTCATCCTTTATGTACAAATCCCGCTCTTTGGTGAAGATGGTGTCTCGGATCCCACCTCTCTAGAGGAGGGGTCGCACTGCACACTGCACTCCAGATGCCCTTACTATCTCTTCACAGATAAACCCTCACTCTGTGTGTACATCAGAGGAACAATGTTTCCTCTCAGGCTTTCCAAAATAAATTCCAAAATGCCTTCCATTCTGTCTCACTCCCCAGTTAAATCCACCAAGGGGACAACTGGCAATGTGACTCTACCATATTTGCCTGAGTTTTTCAAAACTTGCACTTTTTCTATTCTCACATTGGCAGTTTTCATGGAAATTTCGAATAATGTGCTTAAATGAATGGAGCTCACACCCACTGTAAGCTTCCAGAGGGGCAGCACTGCTCACTCCCCAGCTACTTCAGCACACTGCAAAGTCCCTGCATGTGCAGCCTCTTTGGGCCTCTCTCTGCAGCTGCTATGAAAAGGCCACATATGGTCAGCCTTTGAGGCCCTTGCTGGAAGAATCCCCATATTTTTACTGTTAACTTCGGCCATAAATGTAAATTTATGAACTAATTGATGGTGGGGAAACCCTTGGTTGTATAACTTTTCCAAGTAATAAAGTGACAGATAAAAACCTTTTTTTTGCGTGGGCCTCCTGTGCAGCTGATTTCTCAGTGGTCAATAACTGCGAAACATTCTAAGAGTGTGCTTTTTAAATTGTTTTTCCTCCAATTCAAGCTAGAAACAGCCCTTCTCAGTTGTCACCACCACCCGGCACCATCAGGTAAGAAGTGCCGGAGCTTCTGCCATCTGTGGCACGCTGCCAGAACTGAGAGCTGGTGTGAGCGAGTGTCTATGGCACCCGGGTTTATGCCTGCCACACTTCTCAGCACATACTACTTACAGGTCAGAGCAAAGCCACTTTTTTTCCTTTTCTTTTCTCCTTCCTTGAGAAGAGATGACAGTGTGCACATGATGTGTTGAGAGTCTTAACTCCATATTTTTAACTCCTCTATCTGCATGACTCATTTTCTTCTACTTTAAGTTCATTTCATATGACAAGTGACGGCTACCCTGCTTTCCAAATTAACTTTTCCTTGGACTCTACCTGGCTCCCAGCCTCTTCTGCTTAACAAAGCCAATGAAAAAGCCAGACTGGAGCACTGGAGGACCCCTAGGCTTGGAGTTGGAAGATCTGGGCCCAGCTCCCAGAAGCTAAGAATAAGTAGTATGTCCTTGGACTACGTATTTAACCTCCTTGGAACATGGTTTCCTTGTCTGTAAAATAAAGTTTGGACTTGATGACTTCTATGTTCTTTCTAGTTTAAATTCCAGAATTCTGAGGCATTGCTATTCCCAATTCAAACAGGCTCTATCTTTTGAAAGGTAGAATAACAAAAATAACAGATGCTTATATTTAAGAATATCTGTAAGAGATTGTGGGGACAGTGATAAGCTTATGTCTACATATGCACAATTCCTATTTGTGCAATGCTTTGAAGCACAGGAAGAGCTCTGTAACCTTTTGATAAATTAATGAATTCCCAATGGCATAGTTACCAAGCATTGTAAAAGAGCTTCAGAATGTTGACTTGATCCACAAACATACATCCCCCTGATGTCCTGCTTTGGTCATGTTGGTTGCTTAGTTACAAAACAATAACTGGGTAAGTGTCTGGATATTTATTTTTATTCTTAAAAAACAGCCGATTTGGTATCAGATTAGATTTCAGAAAACTATAAAACAGAAATTTTTTAGCCAGCTCAACACTGCTAAATATTATCAATTTGTACCCCTTTACTCTGGCTATTACTTTATTTCTAGTTCCATTCATGTTTCTGGGTACTGATCAAATCTAAATTCTCATCAAAATAAACCTATTGCCCATTTACTTTGTACTATTGTAATAAACACATATTGCATATGTAATATGAGCCAGGTACTTTGCAAGGACTTGGGATACAAGATGGATAAGACAGTGTTTCAGTCCTTGAGGAGTTAAAATTTAAAATACACCTTCTCTTCACTTATTGAATATCTCATTAGCTGACATTGTGCATTTACAACCATAGTGAAAAATCTACTATCCAACTATTTTGCATATTAACGATGTGTATCTGGAAGTAATGTGCATCAAGGTGCTAGACGAGAGTAACACTGGCTGTGATGGCTAACATTATGTGTCAACTTGGCTGAGCCATCGTGTGGCAGTTATTCAATGAGGTGGTGTGGCAGTTACACAATGATGTAGTCATCCTTCCTTTTGTGATCTGATGTGGGCATCCTCCATTTTCACATAATGCCAATTTAACACAGTTACCTGGTCTTTGGAACCTAATCATGTCAATAAGTGAGGAAAGAGTGTATAGGGAAGCAATGCTTCATGAGGGGGCAAAAAGTACCTGGATACTTTCATGCTGCTAAGCATTAAATGAAATTGTTACTTTTCAATGGTAACAAAATGGTTGTTATGAGCAACATTTACCAAGAAGTCTTGAGAAGGCCCAGTCTTAGGTAATCAAAGAAAAGAAGAAGAAACCAAGACAGAAGGGGAGTGGTGGTTATAGGACCAGGAAGAGGGTGGCCTCAGAGCCTAGCTTCTGACACTAAGGTAAAACTAAGTGCTGCTTTTCTTAGTGATGTAGCAGTTGCTCCCTATTTTGATGTAATTTGTTGTTTTCTGGCTATATGTTAATCTTTATCCTTTGTGAAATTTTTTTAATTATTTATTTTATTTTTTGTTATAGTTGAAAATATACTCAGCAGAACATACACCAATTCTACACGTAAAATTTAGTGGCACTGATTACATTTTTCAAGTTATGCAACCATTCTCATCCTCCTCTTCCTTGAAAAAAGGCTAATACCCTTTTCCAAATTGTTCTTGCACATTAATATAAACTCACTGCTCCTTCAGTTTTTAATGATACCTAGTCCCACCAATCTACTCAGTAAGTTGTAAGAGAAAGCTTATCATTTATATTTACAACACTGTTAAACTAGGATCTAAATTAGACATATAGATGTTGTAGAATTTGCAGTTAGTTCTTAGATCTTCCTTTTTCTTATACTAGATAAAATATTTTTGACAAAAGAAAGTGAATGAAATAATTGGGAAAATACAACTGCTTTTTCAAAGTCCACTAAGAAAAGGTGGCTAGGTTTCTTTGGGCACGTAGGGCTTGTAGCAAAGGGCAGTAACACAGACCACAAGGTGAAAGGCTGCACACAAGCCAGCTGAGGTCTCAGGAGACACAGACCCTGGTCCGCTGGTCCTTCGGCCTTTTTGCCCAACAAATACTCCAACATGTACCAACCAAGTTTTCACAGCCCCTGCTCAATACTGAATGTTATACTTTAGGATTCTAGGAGTCATGCCCTTTCTGCCAGTTACTAGTTATGAGGATGAAAGACACTAAACTACCTAGAGATATTTTTCACGTGGACAGCTACCGATTTCATCACACTGCAAGGTAAAGAAAGCTGGGTAAACTTTCAGCAATATTTTGGACCTTCTATCAGTGGGAACATATGTTCAAACAGTAAAAAACAAATGGTTATATCAAAATGTGAAGGATGGTCTATTTAAAATTGGTCTTGTTTAAAGTATCTGACTTTGCTCATTAGAGTCAATGTAATGTCTGAAGACTAGACACGTATTTTTAATCTAGATAACCTGGTTTTTTAAACAATTAGGCTTTTCTGATGAAGGGCATCATTTGGCATTATTATTTCCTTTGGGGATTATCTAAAGTATCATGTCATAAAAACCTTGCTTGAACCAAAGAAAAATAATAGAGGAATAATTTAGACTATGGATCAAAAACTCACTGCCGTCGAGTCGTTTCCGACTCATACAGACCCCTCCTTGGGTTTCCGAGGCGGTATCTCTGCGGAAGTAGATTGCCTAATCTTCTATATAGTCAAAAGGGAAAAAAAAAGCAATTTTCAAGTCTGATTGTCTCAAATTCTCCACATATTTCCCATGGCCAGCATTTTATTTTAAGCCTCAAACCTGATTTCACATTTTGAAATATCAGAGAAAGCAGTATTTTTAATGTGAAAGGTTCCACAAACACATATTTCAGTGGGCTTCAGAAATTACCCTTATAATACTCTGATTTTCTCCCAAGACTCTTAGCAAAACACAGAATTACTGTGAGGATGATTCTATCTGACTGTAACAGGGATCTTTGGGAAAGGAAGATAAAGTACGTTTTAGAATACAATGTTATTTCTGCTTGAGCCAAGCAAGGAAATACATGAAGTTTTAAAGCCCTCTTAAAAGAAACCAATCATCAACCAAAATACTTCAAGACAGTCTACTGAGTCATTTATATTAACTTCCCTTGCAGTAAATGTTGGAGGTAGATGACAGAGAGAGAGACAGAGAGACAGAGAGACGGAGAGAATGAATAGGGGTAATTCCCAGCTTCTGAAGACTCTCTGGACATCCACTATCTGTCTTGTTTATGCTGTTTGGGATTAGAGATAACACTGAAGGAGCATGCTATTTTGGGGTGACAAAAACCAGCAACAAGAGATATATGCTTCAAGTCTAATGTAGCCTCTTTCTCCAGCTCATGTTTCCAAATATTCCCCCACGAAGCCAGATAGAGTCGGCAGGCTTGGATGCATGATGGTGCATAAATGGAAGCTCCCAGCTTTGCAGTTGCTTAATTTAAAGAATGAACTTTCTCTTTCCAATCTAGAAATTTTATATCATTACTGAATACAATTCTGGTGTATTTACTGATTCATGAATGATGTGTTTGTATATGTCTTGTAGGGAAAAAAATTTTAATCAAGCTTCAAACCCTCTTAAACAGCTGAGTAGTTACAGGAACACCATAAACACTCAGTGTAACACAGGGTCTGAGTCTAGGGCTCTCCATGCCTTTTGCCTCCCCAAAACTCACACAGAGGACGTAGGCTGACCAGGTTTCCAGAAGACACCATTTAACATGAGGAAATGCAACCAAGGAATAGGTTTGAGGGAGAGGGTCTTACCTTTGGGGAATCAGCTTCTAGAGTGATTAGGAAGGGGAGCTTATGACAAAAATGTAATATAAAAATTAAGTAGAAAATGTTAATTTAAGGTTATGAAAATAAAAGAACTTAATAATTACAGTAAACACTGTCCCAAATCCCTCAATCACTCTTTAACAAGAAAAGATTTTAACATAACACAGGAATTCCTTTTTCCTCAGATCAGCATCTAAGAAGATTGGATGGTTTAAACTCTAATTTATAAATTCTGCAAATGCTATGATGACTCGATATTTAAGGATAAACTCCTCCCCCAGCATGCAATTAAAATTATTTGCAACTACAAGAGTTGTGTATGCTTACATACAGAGAAATAAGAATGGGTAGAACTTTTTGGAGTTCAGTTTTTGGGTAAGGGGTTAGAGCAAATTTTCAGGGGGTTGGAATAGGGGACTAGAAACTTATTAAATATAAAATCACCAATGCATGTGCCATATAGGGTTTTTTTTTTTTTAAAAAAAGATGAAGACGGGGGGTGTTGTCGGAGTGGTATTGTAAAATGTGGTCAAATGGCTAGGAGGACTCTGGTCCAAGGGTGACAGGAATATAATAAAATTGTACTGTAGAAGAGCAGGCCAAAATGAATGTCTAAAAGTGTCACACACTGGGGACTCATTTATAGCACCATTTCCCCCGACCATAATAGTTTGGAGTGAGCTTCCAATTTGCTAAGGGAGATAGTCGCAAAACATTCAAACATTTCTGGTAAATAAAATTTCTATGCACTTTAAAAGTAATTTTCTGAAATAATTGAGATCTAAATTTTATGAAAACCAGTATTTATTCTTTTGCTAATGGTTTCATGTCATAGAAATGATTGGTATTAGCATATAATCTTATTATTTTAAAATTCAAACCTTTTAGAAGGAAAGCTTGACTCCTTATCTTTTGAGTTATCAGCGGTAATCAGAAGATTTCTCCACAAAGCAGTTTTGGACATTTCATCAGAAATATTTATCACAGATGGATCATCTCTACATAGGAGTTTGCCCAAAATGAATAATAAACATTAAATAAGTAACAGAGGTTATCCTATGATAGAAACTAAATATATACCTTTCTTTGTGCAGTATGTTTATAATTAAAAATTAAGTGATATTAAATAGTTCTCTCAAGTGTAAAAAAATCTGTGAAAAATAAAAATCTAAAAGAAAGATTCTAGTTGTATAAAAACTGAATTGGTCACAATTTTCCTAATTCATTTTAAATTAAAGAGCTCAGGTTCTGCATGTTGATTGCTTAGCCCCTTACCCCTCACGTACGAAGCCCAGCAGTCTTTTAAAAATTTACATCAGATCATATCACTACTCAGAAGCCTGCAGTGGTCTCCTGTACCTAGAATAAAAACCCAAGTCCTTCCAAAAGCTTATGAGACTGTAGTGCTCTGATGCCACTCACACCCCTCTGACCTCATCTCCTGTTGCTTGCACCCTGCTCACTCCTCTCCAGCCATGATGGCCTCCTGGAACTGGAAAAGCTAGCTATTGCCTCAAAGCTTTTGACCGTGTCCTTCCCTCTGCCAGAATGCTCCTTCACATGGTGCAAGTCTTCCTCTTTGTTATGGATTGAAATGCACTTTCCCTAAAATGTATCTACTTGCCTTGGCCATGATTCTCCATGTTATGTAATTATCCTCCATTTTGTGATCTCATGTATCCTAAGTGTTGTAAATCTTAACCTCTATGAGGTTAATAAGGAAGGATTAGAGGCAGTTATGTTAATGAAGTAGAATACAATCAATAGGATTAGGTTGTATCTTGAGGGATCTCTTTTGAGATAGGAAAGAGATTAAATAAATAAGCAGAGATCAGAGGGACCTTAGCACCACCACGGAAGAACAGCCAGGAGCAGAACACATCCTTTGCACCTGGGACCCCTGTGCTGAGAAATGCCTTGACCCAGGGGAAGAGTGATGCCAAGATATCTGGAGATCTCCAAGGATTGCCAGGCCCACAGATGTTGGAAGGAGACAAGGACCTTCCACCAGAGATGACAGAAAAAAGCCCTTCCCTAAAGCTGACACCTTGAATTTGAACTTCTAGGCCCCTGAACTGTGAGAGAATAAATTTGTTAAAATCATCCACTTGTAGTATTTCTGTTATAGCAGCACTAGATGACTAAAACAACCTCTTTTTCTCAAATGTCACCTTCTCACAGAGGCCTGCCCTGATTACTCTATTTAAAATTGAAATATTAATCCTCTCCTGGTACTCCTACTCCTCTTTTTTGCTTTTATTGCATTTTTCATCATCTACCATACTATATATATTACTTGTTTGTTTGTTTAGTTTCTGTCTACTCACTCCATTCTACTAGAATATAAGCTTAATAAGGACAGGGATTCTTGATTAGAACAGCGCTTGCATTAGTACCCATTCAATAAATACTGTTGAATAAACAAACACAGACTATGCCTGAGACAAAAGACTTCCTAGATGACTGGGAAATATATAACGTCAGGGCCTATATTATGTCAGGCACTTTTTTTTTTGTTTTTTTTTTCACATTTTTAAAATGGTGCCAATTATAGGTGGCATTCAGCGTACTCCAAAACACCCCCTGCACTACAAATACAACAAAATGGCAGCAACAATAAATCAAAGCCCAAATCAGAAAAAGTTTCAGTGAGTGAAAAAACAGCATCCATTTTACTACACATAGGAAAGAGATTCTGCTGTGAAAATATTATGGTCTACTGAGATTCTAGACTGACTTCACAGACCTTCATTGATAACTAGAGGAACAGTTAAGGGTCCTGAGAAAAGCCTTGGGTCTCACATGTTCCCATAATGTACCCCATCTGGAAATGTGTTCTTCAGTTTTGCTATCCCCTACAGCCAGCCCTTGGTCAGCCTAGAAAGATAGTTTCCCAGAAATTGACATCAACTAATTTCCCAAAAAGTGTCATGTGGAATATAAGTTCTTCATGATGTTTGTGACAAGAATCCTGTTACCAAGTTTAGAAAGTGCTGAATTACACAGTTATTTATTTATTTATTTTTAGTTGAAGTATGACTTATGTTTTTAAGCCAATGTAAATTGGGAATCTTCAAACTGGAATGCTGTGTGGAACACTTTCAAACTTATTTAACCACAAAATTCTTTTGATAGTCACATTAGTGCCACATGAGACTAATTTTCTACAGAATGCACTGGGGGAAAATGCTAGATTCAACCGAACAACCAAGAGGATTTTAAAATTTAAATATTGTGGAGGGAAAAAAAGCTTGTGCTCACCCTTAAGTGGTAGATAATTATAACAACAAAAATTTAGGGATATAATTTTAGATCAGACCCTGAAAATCCTCTTCTATTTTCATATTTTATCACTATGAAAAATTCCCTCCTCAGAGAAAACTCTTTCTCACTATTTATTTATATTTATTTATTTTTATTTTGATTTGGGTGAGGATTTACAGAGCAAATTCACTTTCTATACAGCAGTTCACATATACTTTGTCTCATGTCATTGACCACAGTTTACCACAATGCAACAGCTCCCCTCCCACTTCCTCCCCATAGCTATCTCTTCCCAGTGTCCATCCCTCCCTACTCTCCTGCCCCCTGAGCTATCTCCCTGTGCATAAACAGCCCTTCCTTCTCCCATGATTGTTCTCTCCAGGGCGTGTGTCTACTTGAGGTAAATGTTTAACTCACATGCCTGTACTTTGTTTGGCTGGAAACCACAGGTGTGGGTTCAATTCCAGACCTGAAGGGCAGCTAGGGGCCATAGTCTCAGTGGTTCTACCAGGCTCTATTGGACCAGCAAATCTGGTCCCCATCTTCTTTTTTTTTTTGCCTCCAAATGATTTTGAGTTTTGTTCCACATTGTTCTCCCTCTCTATGCAGGATCTCCTACATCCCTTGCAAGTGGATGACAGTGGTAGCCAGCCACCATCTAGTTCTTCTGGTCTCATAGTTGTATAGGTTGCAGATCGGATGGTGTACCAGTCGCTAGGACTGATTGTTTCCATTAATTTTGGTTTTCTTCTTTCTTCTTGATGAGGAGAGACCCATCGTTGCATCCAGATGGCAGCTTGCTAGCTTTTAAGATCCCAGTTGCTACTCACCAAAGTAGGAGGTGGAACAATGTTTTGTATAGTATATTATGCCAATTGAGCTTGATGTCCCCTGCGACTATGGTCCCATGCCTGCAGGTTCAACTACTTGGTCCCTCTGGGTAGCTGGCTGTGACCAAGCAGTGACCACAACCTTGCCCCTTGTCAGCTCTACTATACACCTGGGGATTCTGATCATTCACATAAACTTATAGGACCATTGTCTGCCAACCCTATATATGATCTTGGATACACTCCCCTTTTAGACATACCTAATTGTTTAGCCTGTCCTCCTATCTATCCGTCCATATACCCATGTTTTCCTTCACTGACAACTCAGTACTATATATGCAAAAGGGTTCATATTTGTTGTCTATACTTCCCATGTACCTCTCTATGTCTCCCTCATCCACAATGCTGCCAAATTGGTCACTCACCTTTGGTACATTGCCCTTCTCTTCACCCAAATCAATATTTATTTCTATCTATCTAACAGCATTCCCTCCCCGCCCCTCCCACCCCTGGTAACCAACAAAGAAAATTTCCTTCAATAGATAAACCTTTCCTTAACTTTTACAATAACTGACTAATATAATATCTGTCCTTTTGTGATTGACTTATTTCACTCAGCATAATGTCCTCCAAGTTCATTCACATTATGCAGTGTTTTGCAGATTCTACATTATTCTTTAGTGTTGCATAGTATTCCATTGTGTGTATGTATCATATTTTGGCTATCCATTCCTCAGTTGATGGACATCTGGGTTGTTTCCATGTTTTGGCTATACTTTTTATTAGCATGGCCTTAAAATATCTTCAAGTACTTTGAGACCATAAAATTGGGAACTAACTGGTACATAGAATTGTATAAGAAAAACATTGAAATTAAACTGAAAAATGAAATTTTGGGCCAAATAGTAAGAAAAGTTTTCTAATGTAACTTATAGGATTTGGCTTTCTTTTGCTATGTCTTTGTGTACAAAGAAGAACAGCATATTTTGGAACGCTGCATAAATATTTTCTAAAGTGACTGGTATGGGCGTTCCGGCAAGATGGCGGACTAGGCAGAAGGATTGCACAGACCCTCTTCAACAAAGAAAAGGGAAACCAATTAACACAGACACAGAAGATAA